CAAAGTCCTCCCTCTACTGTTTCTTCCCTTTCTAGGTTATATATACCATCACTTTTTTCAACAGAAGTTATAATGTATTCTGAGGCTTTTACTTTTATTCCTTTACTTGGTTCAAAAAAATCTCCTTCATTGATTCCTCCTTCTCTAGGTTTGTAAGTAATTTTTATCCCTCCTTTTACACTACTCGATCCACTCCTGTCTATTTCGGGTACTCAACATAACCCTAATGTCCTACTTCCTGCACCGTTCCAAGCCATAACTTCTCCTCAGCAATGCTTCATGGCAACTAACATGACCTCTTGCAGTACTGATTCAGGATCCTTTCCATAGTCAACTTTTATTTTATCTCCATAAGGCAATAAACCTATTATTGAATAAATACCATCGACAGGAAGTGCTCTACCCCTGTTCTTTACTGATCATAATGCTTCATTTAGTCTAAGTGAGGCTTTATCTTGGAGTTTATACCCTCTTTCGCCCTTATCTTCATAATATAGTCATCCAACAGGAGTTGTGGCTTTTTCTCTGCATAATTCTTTTATATTCCTACACTCATCATAATGAACTTTCGAAACTTGCTTAAGTTTTCAAATCAAAGCCATAAATCTCCCATCTATTAAAAAATCATCAAACATAAAAATAGTTTGTTTAGAGAGAAAGCCTTCTTGGAATGTTCAGGAGCGAGAGAACCATTCAGAACCCATTATTTTTTCTAAGATCGGTAAAGCATTATCGATTATTTTATTAGGATAAATAAGTCCGCTTTCTCCTGACTCAAAAGACTTGGTTAATTTTCTAATGTTTTCTTCACCAACTTCAGCATGAATAGCTAGCAAAGTTACCGTAGCATTATTATAGTAATCTCTCATCCTAGAAACTTCATGTGCTTTTTCCTTGTCATTATTTTGGTTAACACATAATTGATCCATTCATAGATATTCAATTTCGTTTCCTTTTGTCATCCTTGAAATATGATGTTTATTAAGAATTTTTAGAGTTTGAATGGCTTTATCTAATGATTTAACTCCGCCAGGACTTAGTCTTTCTTCAGCACTTTCTAGATTTCATTTTATTTCTTCCTTATGTTTACCGCCCCAAGAATAAGATAAAATTGCATAATGTTTAGCATCATCAGCACATTCAATCCTTCTTTTCACTCTAATGTTTTTTTTCATCCCAGATCCTAAAGAATTATTTTCCAATTGCGGAACTTGATCTTTCATCTTGTAAATTTCACTATTAAAATGACAAAGTCTCAATGGCAACTTACTTAATGGCAATGACTTGCCACTTTTTCAACTAAACCCTGTTTCTGATTCTGAAGGATAAATTAACTTACTATTTTTATAGTATTCTTTTTTCATATTATAGTCATCCTTTATTCTATTTACTTTGTAATTTTTATCTTCTGACAAAAGAGGACTTTTTACTATTGACCTTATAATTGTCCGTGATGATTTCTTCTGTCTTAAAGCCTTTACATCATAAAAATTGTCTTCATAGTATTGTTTGTATTCACTACGTTCACCAACCCAATAAATTTTTTCCAATTTTCCTAGTAATTTTCTGTCATTTTTTAAATAGGTTAAAAAATCATCTTTTACTTCGATACCATTATAGCGAATATCGATTTCAAGCAATTTTTTCAAACCACTTAAATCTCCTAAATAACCAGTAAAAAGATGGTTAGACATGTGATTGTTTACTCGCTCTTCAGTATTACCAATATATAAGTTTTCTAAGTTTGAAAACTGATTAAATTCACTTATCTCAGCATTAGAAATATTATTATCATTTATGTTTAAATAGGTTAGAGTTTCGGAACTTATATAATCAGTAATAGCTTTTAACTTAGAAAATTTGTTATCAGAACCCCGAAATTCCTTTAAATTTAATTTTTCATTTTGGTTATTACTGAAAATTAGTTCATTTAGTTCATTTTTTTCACAATCAATACCTACCAGTTTAGGGCAATCTTTTAAGTCGATTTTGGTTAACTTATTATTGCGACAAATCAAGTACTTTAGTTTATTGAATTCTTCTAAGTCTAATTTTCCTTCTAGTTCTTCGCCACTAATGTCTAACTCTTCAATTTCTCCCCTTTTCTTATTTTCATTTTCCTAATCAAAGGCTCCTACACAGCCTTTGTCTTTAGGATATTCATTATTTAGTCATTTTCCTACATCTCTCTCTTTTCACTTTTCGAGATAGTTGTATTCTTTCATTAGTTCGTTTCTTTTAGTCGATTCAAAAGGAGACCTTCAGTTTTGTGCATTAAATTTTTTTTCCTTTAAAAATTTTGCAAAACTTGCATCCTCAGGATTTAAACCAGCTCTAATTCATTCTTTAACTTCTTGAAGGATAAAACCTTCTTTTTTTCATTCCCCAATCCTTTCCTTATTAGAATCTCCATCAAATTCTGGATGAATATCTTTTCAATCCTTTATTTTACTAAATTTACATTTACCAGTTTTTTCATCAAAAAGCAAACCTTTTTCTTCACCTAACTCTTTTAAAATTTTCTCATTCTTTAATCACTCCGGAGTAGAAAAAGAGATTGTTTCTAGACTTTTTAGTTCGCTTAGGAAATTTAGAAAGTTTTCTACTTTTGGTTCACCTAATCCAGAGAATATATCGATATCAGTGTTGTTAATATTCAACTCTTCCAACTTAGTTAAGTTTTTCAAAGGCTCTAATGAACCATAAAAGCGATTATAGAGACTCTTCCCTTCCACCTCTTTCTTGCTGACATTATCAATAAATAAACTCTTTAAATTTTTAAATTTCTCAAAACGAGTTAAAGTTAATTTTTCTCTTTCTCCTAAATGATTACTATGAATACTTAGAATATTTAATTTTTTTAGATTTAACTTATCTAAGAAATCTGATTCGGTAAGAAGATTGTTCCCTACTCGAAAGTCAAACAATTCAGGGCAACTGTCAATTTCTATTTTTTTAATCTTACAATGATTAGCCAAAAAAATCTTTAAGTCAGGCAGATTAGTGAGTTTTATAGTATTAACTCCTTTGATTTCTTTTCCATCTATGTAATTTAAGTTAAATCCTATTAATTCTATATTAGGCAAACCAATAAATTCTACTTCCTCAATCTCTTTAATTGTTTGCTTATTCAAAATTATCCTCTCTAGATTGTCAAATTCTTCAAATTTAAGTTTTCCTTTTAAAACTTTTTCTTCTAAACTTCAATCTCCGGTATCAATTTCTGTTATTTCTTCTCTTTTTTCTTTAGGATATTTTTGTTCTAACCATTGTTGAGCAGTATTTGCTGTTTTCTCTAGAGATTCTGAATCACTATTAATTATTTCTGAATTGTTCACTGAATCATCCACTTCCATCATGTTGGCATTGGAGGTAGTATTATCCAGTTCTGAACTAATTTCCAAAATTTGACCACCGTCTGTTACTTCGGTGTTCCTCTTGTTGCTTTCATCGTTATTACTTAGGGATTCTTTTCTTTTTCTTTTTTTTACCATATTTACTAATATGTTTTATATAGAACTCTAATTTCTTAATTATAAAAAACAGTAAATATTATACTCTATAAATTATTTTACTGAAAAATTAAGTGAACATGAGAAGATGTTAAAAATATTAAAGAAGTTTATCACTAATTTCTAATAGTAAAGTTCTAATCTCTTTATAAAGATACTCCTGCCTTTCCAAACTTAAAGGTTTAGGTTCTAGGATAGTAAATGCTAAACTTCTAATCTCTCTAATACTTTCAATGACCCTATCTTTATCTCTCCATAAATTAACCTCTTCCCATTCACTATTTATAAACTCTTTAACTTTAACTATTCCTAGCCTATCAGCACTAAAAAGAAAGCGATGACACTTCCCTATCTTAAATAGTTTCTCAAAATATTTCTCTAAAACCTTAAAATCTAGGTATTGAAATCCTTTTCCCTCTTTATAGCACTGAACTTTATTTAACCCTCGCGGACTAGATTTCTCTACCACTCTAACAAAATCCTCTTTGCTGTAAATAGTAGATTTCCGATACCTTTTCTTAATCATCCCAAAATTACCATCTACTTTAAACTTGGTATGTCCTGCTATCATAAAGTTTATTTCGACAGTTTCATAATAGCCACAGATTACTAAATAAAGGAGTTTCTTTTGGGAGATGCCAGCTTTTTTTAAGGCATTAAATTCTTTGACGGCGGGAATTAAATCCGCACGACTGGCACCGGTAGGTTGGATTAATAAATCAGCATGTTTGGCAATTTCCAAAGTACTTCTATTAGTGCGAGCAGATCCATCAATGATAATTAAATCGTATTGCTTGGTTAGCGGTCAAATATCTTTAACTGAATTAAAATCTTGGCAATTAACCTTTTTATTGATTTTATTTTATTCTCAACTAGTTTTCTGTTGGTGGTCGCAGTCAACTAATAAGACTTTTATTTTTTGTTTGGAGGCTTCAACCGCTAAGGCTTGGCTTAAAGTTGATTTTCCTACTCCTCCTTTTTGAGAGATAAAGACGATTATTGTCATACTACCTTTCTCACATTAAATTTCTGCTTCTGATTACTGTTTAAATTACCTCCAGTAATCTAATTAACCCCAAAAAGCGGAAATTAATTATTAAAATAGTAGTATTAAGTCTTTCAACTTTTCCTCCACTTGCTTCACTATTTCTTTCGGCATCACCCCTACTTTCCTAATTAACCGCTTATTCTTATCAAAATTTCTTACTTGGTCGCACATTATCTTTCCATCTTGGTTATTCACCCGCACTTTTATTTCTCATCCTTCGTAAAAAGGTTGTAAAGTTCGCGAAAGAGGAACCACAATAACACGATTATTTTTCTCATTCTGCCAGTCTTTACTAATAATTAGGGCAGGCCGGGGTTTATCAGGATGTTTACTTTGACTATATATTTCTGTCCCCATGGTTTCCATTTTATGATAACGAATTAACCAAATCTCGCCTCTTTTAACTAAAATTTCACTCTTTTTCATTTTTCATTTGTTCTACATCATCCTCATCACTTATTTTGTCCCACCATTCAATTTCTTTTTCCCGAACTTTATCCTTGCTGGCTAACTCTCAATCTCTTTTTCATTTTTCCTCCTTAGTTAATTCATCCTGAACTTGATAAATTTGATAAGCCACATCAGTTTTATTTAAAAAGTCTTTTATTTTTTGATGAAATTTTATTGCTTGGGAACCTTGCTTATTGGTTTCAATTATTATTATTTCTTTCATAATATTTTAATTTTTAAAAATATAGAGCTTTGGTTCATATATTATATTTTTAAAAATTTAGCAATATAACAATACATATAGCGATATAGTTATATTCCTACTAAAAGTATTTCATAAACATTGGTTTTTTTCTAACTAACTCTGAAAATCCCTCATTTTTACTTTCTAGAAATAAGAATTCTTCTCCATCATTACCATATCACTCATATTCAATCCAAATATTTTTTTCACTTCCTAGATTTTTATAAATAGGAAATTTAGGAACAATAAAAAAGAACTCTGTTTTATCTCATTTTACATCTCTAAAATTAAGATTATTTTTGTTTAATAATTTCATCAATTTGCTTCGGCTTTCCTTAGATTTTACTAACATATCTAAATAACAACTAAATTTTCAATTTTGCTCATGGTGTTTTATACTTCTATACTCCAAGAAAACAAAAATTTTCTCTTGAGGATTTCAGCAAACAGCATCAATCACTCCAAAATTAAAAAAGAAGTTGCTGAACTAAAAGGCAACTCTAAAAATATCAAATAATTATGGGATTATGAAAAGCAGTGTGTACTTGTGCCGTAGCAGCTGGTACTGCTTGTGTTTGCGTTGCTACTGGAGGCTTAGCTGCTCCCAAAATAGTGGGAATTGGTGCAGCATCTAGCTTCGGTGGATACTTAGTTGGCAATCAAGCCGATAAAGAAAGTGCGGAAAGAGAAAAATTACTGATGTAAGATCAGAGATATTACGCTACTCAAATTAAATGTCAATATTTTTACTCAACCAATCTCAATAAATATGAGGGTTTAGGCGAGAATTAGACTGACACTAATTATTGGTAGAGTTATATAAAGATGCTAAAAATGAGTTGGATATAACCCTACCCAAATTAAATGTCCGTTTTAAAGAATAAATATGAAATCAAAATTACAATTTGAGCAACAACCTAAAAGTAAACTGAAAAGACCACTGCAAGTAGAATGTTTCAAATGCTCTAATTCTATTGAAATTAAATGAAATACTGGAAGTGGTGATTACTCCAAGAGGAATAATTGGGATTATTGAACTAGCAAGAAAGAAAACAGAAAAAAGTTTATTTATAATAAATGCTTAATTAACCTTTACAAAAATGACAAATGAGAATATTTAGAAAACATTACTAATTTGGCTAGAAGGAGGGTTTTGAGAACTTATATTTACGAACAGAAACTAGGTTCATATTCTCCACGACATTAAACCGAAAATGAAATAGAAGAGGAGTAGAAATTTATTTCTTTTTGAATGACAATTCTAATTACAATGCTAAAATAACTTTATGAAGCAACAATATTCAATTCCATTATATTGTCATCAATTTAGTCCCTGAATGTTAATTTTTAGTTCATTGCCTCTCAACAAAAGACAGTGGAAAGTAAGAATAAGAGATTTTAGAGAGAGTTTCAGCAGAGGAGAAGAACCTATTGTTCCAGAATGGATTTCACTAACTCTTTTAGACTGCCGAGGAGAGAAAGTAATATGACCGAAGTATAGGCTTCCATGAATATCAAAAGAATATAAACAAAATAGTTCTAATACTAATAACGCTAACCCTAGCGATAAAACTGCCCTTTATATTGGTTGTGGAATAACTGGGATATTATTAGTCCTTGGTATCTTTATAATTGCGAGAATTCGCAAAAGAAATAAATTTAAAAAACATGGATAAGAATGCACCAAATAAGGACTGGAAAAACATAAACATAAATTTTACTGAAGAATTACAAAAAGAGTGAGAAAGTAAAGGATATAGTTATGAAGATTGTAAGGAATGAGTAAATATTGGACTAGAAGTTAGTGATGCTGAATTTTGTGCTTGACTAAAAGATATTAAAAAAGTTGAACCGGAGTGAGCATTAAACCATGGAAATAGCGGAAAATTAAGGGAAGAACATAAAGAATACCGTGAAAAAAAGAATATAATTCAAACAAAAAGAAAAGTTAACTGAAAAGAAAACAACTACTTCTTTAAGGAATTTACAGAAGAACTAACTAAAGAATGAATAAGTTGTGGATTTAATAAGAAAGAAACTAGAGAATGACTAGAAAGTAGTTTGGGGGTAAGTGAGGTTAAACTTGCTAAGTGATTGAGGGATATTAAGAAAAAAGATGCCGAATGATTTTTAGAGTATGGAGATGAGCAAGAATTAAGAAAAGAATTTCAGAAATACTCAAAGGATAATAAAGTTGATAAACAAACAATAAGCAAAGAAGAAAGTAACAACTGAAAAAATATAAGTAAAGATTTTACTGAAAAATTACAGCAAGAATGAGAGAGAAGGGGCTTTGATTATGAGAAATGCAAAGAATGGATAAATATTGGTTTAAAACCAAAAAATGCTAAACTTGCCAATTATTTAAAAAAAGAAGATTGCACTCCTGAATGATGTTTAATAAACAACATAGATATTAATAAATTAAGAGAAGACTGCGAAGTTGAACTATTAGTGGAAGAAGAGGAAATAAAAGCAATAAATGCCCAAGAATGGTTAGACAAAAATTACCCAAAAAATGGAGTTTGTTCATTGAATTCAGATAAAGAAAATTATGGTAAAAGAAGGATTAATATTAAAACCCTAAGCATTTCAGGGCAAAAATTAGAAGCTTGTTTAGATTTAAGAGACTTTGTAAATTTAAAGATTCTCGTTGATTGCAGTGCCGACAGCTTAAGTAATAAAATAACTAAATTAAAAGTTAGTAATTGTAAAAAATTACAAGTAATTTATTTTAGAAACAATCGATTGACCACTTTA